ACAGCCCCTAGGGCAGTGGTTCTCAACCTTGGCTGCACATTAGAATCACCTGGGAATCTTTTTAAAATCCTGGTTTCTGGGCCTCATCCTCCGGAAATTCTGTTTCTTTGTTACTAATGTTGTGACCTCACCTCATAACAAAGAAACAGAATTTCCGGAGGATGAGGCCCAGAAACCAGGATTTTAAAAAGATTCCCAGGTGATTCTAATGTGCAGCCAAGGTTGAGAACCACTGCCCTAGGGGCTGTGGGAAGGATTAATTTCCTCCCCCAAATAGAGAGGGGGGGGGGGACGGAAAGCCTCTTCTATGGGGTAAGGCCATGAGGTTGGAGTGGCACCAGGCGTGGTGGCATCCCATGGCCAAGGTCGGGGAGCAGAAGGTGGGGAAAAGGCTGTGTCTCTGACCACACGGTTGAGAAGCTGCCCCCTCACACTGCCCTCTGCCAGACCAGTCACACTTCCCCATTACCCAAGCCTCTTGTGGTTGGGCATCTCATTCCTTACGACCCAAAGCCGGCTAAGATACAGGGCCCTGTGGAGAGGTCATGACAGGGAGACACCATTTCTGATCTTAAAGAGCTCAGGGTGTTGGGGGAGAGGCGATCTTTCTCAAAATCCCAGCAGCAGGTCTGCTGTCTGGGTCAACTGGGCAAACCCTTCCATTGACCACCCAGCTCTCTCCTCCCCTTCAGAGCCAATCGTGCCCCAGGATATCTTGGCTTCATGTCCCACTCAATCTCCCACCGCCTGGCCCCCCCAATCTGGATTTGCCCTCACACTCCATGGCAACAGCCCCAGTGAGGTCATCAGGGGTCTTCCTGCCTCTAAATCCGAGGAGCCTGTCAGCCCTTATCCTGGAGACTTCGTGTTAAACTGGCTGCTGTCCACTCCTTGACCTTCTCTCAGTCTCCTCTCCATCTCTCACAGACCCTTCTCTTTCTTCTGTCTGGGCCTTTAGACATCAAATGGGTGAGCGTATCCCACTCTCAGGTCTCTGCTGTGACTCCTGAACCCGTGCCCCGTCCAGACCCCTCCCTGGAGCTGCCTGTCCCTACATCCAGCCGCCTGCTTCATGTCTCCCTGGGTGTTCTGGGAGCCTCTTAAACATGTCTACATAGAACTCCTCCTCCCTTCACCCACCTGGGCCACGTCCTGTTCCATCCACGGGACCGGATACCCACCCAACAGCTCCCTATCCCTCTCCCCAGGCAACCACCAAGCTCCGCTGATTCTACCTGAAATGACACTCTCAGCCCTCCCATCAAGACTACCATTGTCATATGTCCAATGGCAGTGGTCTTCTCACTGCTGCCCCTGCCTCCCAGTCCCATCCATCTCCACCCACCCTGGGGGAATCCTCCCAAATGCAAATCTGTTCATGCCATGCTCCCTACTGCTCTAGGACAAAGTCTAAATACAGCATGGCCTTGGTCTTGGCCTGGCCCCTCCCGTTCCTTCAGCCTCATCTCTCACCACTCCCTCTTCTTCAGGCTCACAGAACTGTCCCAGTTCCCTTGGGCCCTTTGACCCTGCTGAGCCCTCTTGTAGGAAGGCCTCTTCTATGGGGTAAGACCATGATGTTGGAGTGGCACCAGGCGTCTTGGCATCCCATGG